ACGCCGATGTTGCAGCTGTGAGCAGGGGCTAAACTGCAATCGCTAGCGACAGTAACGAGCGCCAGCCACGCAATGAAAGCACTCAGTGTGCCAACTACTCACCTAACCAGCTAGTCGCTGCTTCACATTGATTACATTACAACCCTTGTCGTTGTAGATTGCGACGTTGAGGTGTGATGAATAAGGTGTACGTAGTAGTTATTCGTCTAAGCATATATCGCACCCGACACCCAGGAACGCCGCTGACTAGAACAACTCTAGAAAGCGATGGCCTGACCTATACCACGCGTTAATATGAAGTGTATCGTCCACTTACCGGGGTCGCAAAATCGATATGAAGATCGACTATGATCATCCCTTTCCATGCCACGCTTCGGGTAAAATCACGCTACGAACGTCAACCCTTTGTACAGTATCTTGCTCACGCACGAACAAGACTCAGGTACGCGCACATGTGTTGTACACGTAGCAATCGCCCATGTGCACACACACACCACGAGACGAGAAGCTGCTCGAGTCAATCCTGCCCCTGCATGCTCACCGTGCAACGGGCATTTGGCCAATTTGCCCGTTGCAAAAGCCACCGGCTACAATGTGCCATCGGCGTGCAGTAGACCCTTTTTGCACGGCCGCTCGCTAAGACCCCGGATTCACGTATAGCGTATCGCGCGTGCATTAGTTTCGGTTTGACGATAGGACCCTTTGGCAGTTGATGACGGGTAGAACCTGTGATGGCGGGGGAACAAGCTCTCTCCAAGGTCTTGGGGCTGCAGGGACTCATGTCAGAGGGGTCAGAAGGTCTGGTGCACGTTGGTAATGAACTCCGAGGAGGTGTGGGTGTGGTTCTTGATTCGTCATATTGTACTGCATCGGTGTGGCACAGTGGTGAGATACAACTTTGTCATGCGAAGCAGGTTCGGAAGACAATGCATTGGGAGTGCGAGGGTGTAATTAGCTTGGTGATTCTTTCGACTCCTCTGATCTTTGCCAGTATAGGCTATCCCCTCTAATCTATACAGTATCATGCGTCGGACGACTATGCAAGACGCCAACCGGTCTAAGTCATGGTGACGAGTTCTTCGGCCGACACGGGGTGGATAGCCTGCGGGAGAAGCACATGTTAGCATCCATGTTCTCAAACGCCGATTGCACAATGCCGTTCCTTTCCCCCGCAAACGTGGCAGCTGCAGCAGTCGACAGCCGGTGCATTGCCGCTTATGCATGCACGGATGCACGACGAAACGGGAATGGAAGGTTGGGTGATTACTTACCACACAGTTGTCAAAGTCCTTCTTCGTGGCACCCATCCTGATCGCCACACCGAACCCTTGCAGGATCTCGCTGCTTCCCTGTCCCAAGATATGCAGACCGACGACCTTCTCGTTTTCGCCCGCGCAGATGATCTTGTAAGCTGTGGGCTGCTTCTCATCGGGGTCCATCATAGCGAAGTACATGGCCTTGAATTCGGTCTTGTAGATTTTGATCTTGTCGCCGTACTTCTCGCGGGCCTCGGGCTCCGTTAGACCGATAGAGCCGATCTCTGGGTGGGCAAAGACAACAGAGGGAATGTTCTCGTATTCGAGGTGTGCCTTGGGTTGGTTGTTGAATAGGCGGTCGGAGAGGCGTCTTCCAGCGGCGATGGCGACGGGGGTGAGTTCGAAACCGCGATCACATACGTCACCGATGGCGTAGATGTTGGGGATAGAGGTGTTTTGGTACTCGTCGGTCACGATGTGGTTCTTGTCGTTGAGCTTGATGCCGAAGTCCTTGATCTTAAGATCTTCAATTTCGGGGTCACGTCCAGTTGCGAAGAGAACTTCTTCGACCTCAACGGTCGACTCATTCTTTGTCTCGTTGTTCTGGTAGGTGACGCGCTTCATGCCGTTGCCAATATCCTCAACCTTTGTGATTTGTGTACCCTTGTAGAGGTTGATGCCCTGACGCTCGTACTCTTGAGTTACGGTATCTTGGATCATGGGGTCGAAGGTTCGGAGGAGCTTGTCGCCGCGGATGAAGAAGTGTGTTTTCGAGCCGAGTGCGTGAAGCATGCCAGTCATCTCGACACCGATGTATCCAGCGCCACTCGTTGCAATGCTCTTGGGCTGCTTCTCGAGATCGAAGAAGCCGTCGCTGCTAATGCAGAGTTCCTTGCCAGGAATATCGGGTAGCTTCGGTCGTCCACCGGTCGCGATGAGGATATGCTTCGCCTTGATGCGCTGGGAGCCTCCATCATGAAGCGCAACCTCGACTTCGTCCTTGGCCACAAACTTGGCGCGCCCTCTGAAGTGCTCAATCTCGTCCTTGTTCAGGTTGTTCTCGTAGATGCCGTTCAGTCGCTTGACGTAGTCGTCTCGCTTCTTCTTGAAGTATGGCCAGTCGAACTCTGGTACCCCGCCAACCTTGAAACCGTATGCGGGCGCATCCTTGAAGGTCTCGGCAATCGCTGCTGCGTTCCAAGTAACCTTCTTCGGCACACAACCGACGTTTACGCAGGTACCTCCGTATCGTGAAGATTCGATCGCGATGACTTTTGCGCCGTGTTTGGCGGCTCGTCGTCCAGAGGCAATACCTCCGCTGCCAATTCCGATTACTAGGTAATCGCACTCCTTGGGTTGAGACGACATGGTGATGCTTGAGGTGGAGAAGTGAGACGAGAGGTTTGATAAGCGTGCGGATGCCACTGCGGTTCGTGAAGGGCGGAAGTGCGATCGGAGGAGAGAAGTTTGTCCTGGAGATGGAGGGGTAATGGTACGGAGACTTGTCGAGAGAGCTCGCAGTCTAAAGGTAGCTGTTCTTTGCATTAAGATGCAGCGCGGCCGACGGCGGATACTTATGGAGTACGTCAGAATAATTAGATTCCAAAGCTACTACTGCATTCAGAGGCTGGATTGGACGACTTAAGTAATCCAACCACGCAGGTGCAGTATGCGGTATGCGATATGGCTGCTTTCTGTGCAGGCTAGAAGTTCCAGACCGGGGACGAACAAGACAATGCCTGGAACTATCACGCAATGCTATCTCAGCGACCGATGTGTGTCGCTTGGTAATGCTGCGATTTAAGATTTTGCGATTATGGGAGCAGCCGGCGGTGACGTGATCTCGGCCTTACGCGTGCGGACATCCCGGAGGTGCATGCGCTAGACCGCTTCCAATAGCTACTTCGATCATCGCTTCCAGGCCAGCCCACCTGCGACACACGACTCCACGCAACTTCAGGTCGGTCAAGTCAACTGAAGCTCGACAGATGTTGGCAGGAAACCATGCCAGCCTATGAGAGTGGTTCAAACTTTCTCGGATCCTGAATCCTGACTCCTGAAGCATCGACAGTTACCCAAAGAGATCAGACCATCCCCACCACGGGCCTTGCGACATTGCCGAGTGTCGCACTCTTAGCTGAAAGCCTTCACACCCACTTCTACCTCACTCAACTACCCTCGTCATGGGTGGTAGGCTTTCCATGCCGAAGGCGGCCGATGGCTTGAGCGAAACCTCCAAGCCGACGTCGGCCAATGCGCGAGCGCGTCTTTCACGAGGCGGAGGTATCATCAATGGCCGTGTAAGAGGCTTCTGTCCAGATTTGTAATCCCCACATCAGCTAACACGTCCCAGACCGTCATGGCACCCTTAGCGGCCCTTACCATGGCTGGCCTCCTCTTCGTATATGCTCGGACGTCGATACGTGCGGCGAAGCTCAACGCGAAGAAACATCGAGAGGCAGACGGTGGGCAAATCAGTTGGCACAAGGAGAGCATGAGGCGGCATGGTCAGATGGACAGGCTGGACGATGACAGAGGGACATTCAGCGAAGCTCTTATGGGAGACATTCGTAAGAAGAAACAGCAGAAGGTCGAGGAGAACCAGAAGGCGCCAGTAGAGAGGTCCGAGAACGACGCTGAATTGAGGAAGATCATGGGAAAGAAGGACTGATTCCTGAGGGACAGGCAGAGCTCTGATGGAAGCAAGGCACGAGGGTCATCCAGAAGGCCATGATTTTATGTCCAAGGACAAAAAGTATAGAAAGACACATTAACACCTCAATCTATGTGTCTACGTGCCTCAAGGATCGTTAAACGAGGAATCATTATCATCAGGTTCGTTGCTGTGAAGAGGCCAGAATTGCACTATGCTGCTAATGAAGCTGCACGCGAGCACATTTAGCGGCTAAGGCGTTCACCGGTTTGTTCAGCATTGTCCAACACCAGCAGAGAGGTAAGCTTGGGTACAGCAGAACTTAGGTCAATCTACAAACACGGTCCGCGGCCGGCAGTGTCTTGTCACACGCACCCGAAACAGATTCACCTCTATACAGTCTGTTTAATCACGGGCAGCAAAAGCCTAACTACCTGGATACAGCAGTTGAACGCGCCGAAGTAGCACAACATGACATAGTAGATAGATTCACAGCGAAACACATGCGCTCGAAAACGCTAGCTGCCGTAATGATAAACTGTGATTTGCCAGAGCTATAGACATGGATGTGTTAAGCTTCACATGTGAGCCCTGGAGCGAACCCCGCATTCAGCTGTGGTAGCTTTCAAACGCGTGCCATGCCACGAGATTTGGTTGAGTGATGGCAGGCGCGATTCAACAGCAAAGTCATGTGCTGGTGTCAAGTTGAGGATCGATTGCCGGGCGCTGGATGAGGGATATTATAGATAGGTACATGTGCAGGTCGTTGCGTCGATCGTTCGCCTGCGGCCAATGGCTTCATCCTTCCGTGGCCGTTAGACTGTTTCGGGGATGCGAGCTGCACAAAGCGTGAGGTTAACCCCACCATTCCATGACCGCGCTCCGCATCTATACACTCTCGCCAACACCAGCCATTGTCGCCCGACCTTCCTCTCCACCACCAACCTCCGCACTCGACACCAATCGCGCACCCACGTTCCCTCCATCCAGCTTGACGACGCCGCGGTCTTCATGGAGCTTGCCCGGCTGCTGGCCCGATCGCGATTGCCGTAGGAAGACTGCACCGTCTTCCACAGCTAGCGATAGCCAGTATGCCTAAGCAGGACGAGGGGAGGCCAAATGTACAACAGGACATTCCAAATAGACCCAGAGATCTGACCGAGGTTTCAAGAGCCGTCCTGCGCAGCGAGCAGGCCAAGCGATGGACCAAGAAGTACCGCACCGAGGTCGCTGCAAGCTCCAGCAGTCTGCTCTCTACGTTTGCGGCTGTATGTGCATCCCTATCAGACACGGCATCGTTGATTTCGCCAGTGCTGATAGCTTCTAGTATCCTCTCGACTCGGTCAAGACCCGCCTGCAAGCGTACGCCAGCCCCCCAGATTCACGTAGAACACGGCTAACATGGCATAGCTACAAGTTCAACTCCTTCGCCGACTGCGTTCGCCACACCTACAAAACTGAAGGCTTCCATGGCTTCTACCGTGGTATGCCTCACCGCTCACAGCTGCATGGCCAGCACCCGCTAATGTACGCGTCATAGGTGTCTGGTCTCCTCTCGCAAGCATAACCCTCGTCCGCACCGTGTCATTCTCCATATACCAACGATCCAAGTACGCGCTCGACAATTGGATTTACCAGACTACCGGAAGCTCCCCGCTTGTTATCGCAAATACTCGAGATGCGTGGCCCACATTTTCAACAATTGCATGCTTCGGGCTGGCAGGTGTCAATGCGGGTGCCGCTATCACGGTAATCGCATGTACGACAGACCTACTGCCGTTTATGCTTCGCTAGCTAATTCAGTCAGGCCCCTTCGAATTGACGAAATTGAGCGCGCAAATCTCCGTGTTGATGGCTGAGCGCAACGATGGCGGCGGCAAGAATGAAGCGGTCCGCAAGAGCTACCAGAACTTGGGAACCTGGAAGACGGCACAAAATCTGGTCAAACATCGGGGTTGGACAGGACTATATTCTGGCTTCCATTTGCATCTACGTGAGCGAGCCGCAGATCGCTGCAAAGACATGCAAGCGCTAACAGGAGACAGTAAGAGATTCCATCGGCACCGGCATTTACTTTGTGACATATGAGAGTGTGAAACAGGTTCTAGCCAATGCGCGAGGTACTTCACCTACACATCCACTGGCTGTCGTCGTGGCTGGTGGACTGTGTGGACTGGTTAGCTGGGCCTGCGTAAGCTTTAGCTTCCTATGGGGTCTTGAATCAAGTACTAATACGTATGGCAGATTTTCCCGATCGACACGGCAAAGAGTATCTACCAGCGAAACTGTCTCGTCGGAGGTAAAGACAAGGCCACACGCCCTAAGATACATTTCTTTAGTCGCCGGATGTATCGAGGTGAGCACACCTCCCCAGATTTGCAAGACTTCTACTGACCCAATCAAGGCCTCGGTGTCTCCATGTCTCGTTCCTGCATAGTCAACGCCATTTTCTTTACTGCATTCGAATTCACCAAGAAGCGCATCAACGGCATGTCTTACGACGAGGAGCTGCTTCGTGCCAACGACCTATAGCTAATTCGACATTTCCATATTTGAGGTTTCACTTGTATCTGCATAAGGGCATGGAGTAGGTGCATATTTCGCTTGTACGCAAGTGGATATGTAGATTATCCTAGATCTGAGTATGCCACTACGAGCATAGTCCTAAACATGACACGCATATTGTGCGCCTGACCTTGAAGGATTTCTCAATATCCCCTGTGAACTTCTCAAAGATCTCGTTCAGTCCTCATCTACCTCTGCCTGGCACTGCTTCTTCTCCTCTTCATCCGCATGACCGTGATAATCACACGGCTCAATATCGTCGTCAGGTAGCACTGACTGAGCGATTTGACTGTAACGAAGGATGACGCGCATGAGGAAATCGTGTGGCAGACTGGCTCGAAGTTCGAGTTCGCCATTTCCAGCAGTGTCACTTGAATCCCCAAAAACCCGGCAATGCGACTCCACAAAGAGATCGAGGATTGCGTGATCCTTGGGAAGATGAGCAAAGCCATAGCTCACAGCCTCGTAGTATGCAGTCTGCTTAATAAGGTGGTCGATCAAGCTGTCGCGAACCATTTTGTAGAACAGTGGAGACAGCATTCGATCGCCAAAAACGAGAGCTTTGGTACGTGCAAGTTGTGCATTAGCTAGCCTCATGTCGTTCTCCTCGTCGCACCACTCGGAGCCCTTCTTTGGAAGACTCTGCGAGTACACCCAGTCGACGAAGATGCTGACTGTCACCTCGTTAGCTAAGTGACACACTCCCAAGTGTTTTCCACTCACACGTGCTGCACTCAACGTCTTCCAATGTAACGACACCATCCTGCGCCTCTTTCCAGGGACCATTCAGAGCCTTCTTGAAGTACTCGGAGTGCTCAACGAGCAGAGAGCGATGAACGTGGTACCTGGTTTTGGTGTCGCCTACTTCGACGATGACGAAGACGGGCTCTTGAGCAGCCTCACTAGTATGTGATTAACTCACGGAATTCTTGACCGAGCACCCTTCTAACATACCTCGGACGCTTCATTCTTGCGATGTTCTCGTTGGCGTTGTGTATCCGTGTTTCTGAATTATCCTTGGGCTCACTTTTGTGTCGTTGTATGTGAGTGTCTAGGATTGTAGTTGCAGTAGGAGAAGAAAGGTGACAGACGAAGTAATCGAAGAAGCTGACTTGTTGTTGAGAGTGGTAGTTTGGTCTTGGTTCAGGCCGTCTAGCTTGCCCTCTCTCACTTGAAGACCCACCGTCACCGTGATAACATGGGATTACGAGCGTAGTATCTTTTTCCGACCTCGTAACCGGATCTATCTGGTATAACCTTGGAAGCTTTCAACTACATCTACGATGTCTCAACAGTGAACTATAAGTGCTGTGCTCGTGACAACAAAGACGCGCCAACAAAGGCACGCGATACTCTGGTGAACTATGCTGTGTAGACGGTGTGGGGTTGGAATGGGGAAAGTCGAAAATGGTTCAAGTACCGTTGGTTAGGTAGTTACTGCTACCAAGTTGAACTATCCGCATTAGCCTGGAACGTGGCTGCGGTAAGTACTCCATGTGTTTCCCTCGTGGTAGAGATGGGCGAAGACACTGGCTTTGGGTCATGATATGTTGAGGTAAGAGGTCATATGAAAGGGTGATTTCCGGACTTACGCTATCCGATCGAGGAACGCTAGCGCATGATTAGGGATTGCAATGATGTCGATGTATCACTTATATCAACTTCCTTTCATAGCCACACACGGAACATCACAGTGGCTGGTATGCCGACCGAACTACCGCTCCGAAACATCACGACGTGTACCCGTTCTTTGCACTTTTCGAAGTATTCATTGACCTGCCGACCTAACATATCTCATGACGCCGTCGTTGTTCTTCCGGGAGGGCCCGTATGCAAGTCGTGTCACCGAATAGTCGTGACTGTCCCACCCCAGCAATGGGAATATGCCCGCTGATGAATCCGTTTTGCAACCCCGATAAAGGCAAATGTCGAAGAAAGGAAGGGAAACGAGACGCTTAGTCGAAGAGACCGAAGCCCATGTCGTCGTCTGACTCCTCCTTCTCTGTTGTGTGTTAGTCTCCGTTCTGTGCTCAGCGAGGGATGTTTGGTAGACGTACCCTCCTCCTTCTTCTCCTCGGCAGCTGGCTCGGCACCGGCAGCGTCGCCAGCGGCAGGGGCAGCGCCTCCAGCAGCGGGGGCAGCACCGCCGCCTGAACCGACGTTCAGGAGCAGGTCCTTGACATCCTTGCCCTCAAGAGCCTATTCACATATCAATTCCGTGTTCTGCTCCAGCGTGTCCGTGTATGCGCACCTTGGCGAACAGAGTTGTCCAGATGGGCTCGACCTCCTCGATCTTTGCGGCCTTGATGATAGATTGGAGCTTGTCGGCCTGTTCAAATTAGCCATTGTGTCCGCGATTGCGAATTGCACCTCGGGAGTCGTACAGTGATGTCGACACCGTCATCAGCGAGGATGAGAGCGGCGTAAGAGGTGGCGAGCTCGGAGGTAGACATTGCGACGGATGTGATCGTGATACTGTCGTGAGTCGAGATGTTGAGAGTGTCGGCGCTGGTGAATTGAATTGATGGTGTGGACGGCGCTAATCGTGGCTTTCGCTTAGCGACGTCTAGCTGCATCGGGCGTTAGCGCGTTGGGTGAGCTTGCCTTGCCCCTCGGTGACGTCCGGGCACTTTCCCCGCTATCAAGCTGCATCTTGGCTTCCCGACCGGCTACTTCCAAGTTCGCATATTGCAGAGTTCCAGCTTTCACCACCGTTCGGATTAGCCTCAACCCCACCGAAAGATTCCCCAACCAGCGCCGATCAGCGTCTGCAGCACACAATGACCGACTCCCCACTCCCACGGATTCCGCTGGATCCGAAGGAGCAGCCCATCCTCGACAAGCTGCAGTCCATACGGACGGAGCTGGAACTACTGAAGCGTGATCGGTCCACCTATGTCAAGAGCCAAGATGTCTTGAAGCTGTACGACCAAGTCATCGAGCAGGTCATAATTCTCAACGAGATACGGGAAACTAAGCGCCTGGAGCAGAACAAAGGTATGTCACGTTGCCACCTGCCCAATGTGGCTTGTTGATGCTGACTTGGTCGCATAGTCGATTACATGCTCGATGATTGCTTTCAGCTCATATCACTTGCGTATCTGACCGTCGGAAAGAACCACGAACCACCAGCAGTGTTAGTATTTGGCGGTGTCATGTGCTGTATACGAAGTTACTGACAGTGTTCCAGCTACTCATACATATCCACAATCAAGGTATTTATACATGTGGGAGGTCATGTGCACGTCAATGTCTAACAACTCACAGCGCCTCTTGGACCATCTCAAAGAAGCCACCTTCTACTCGCAAAAGGATCTGGAAGCCCTGGACAAGAACCTGCAAGATTGCCGGCGTTATGTTGAAAGGGGGCAGGAAGGTCACAGCCCTCATCTGCTGACTCTCCTCGATGCTCGTATCAAAGTTTGCGAAGAGACACTAGCAGAACTGAAGCTGAACCTATCCGGACTGACACCCGACCTGACACCGAAGTGGGAGAAGCTTGTCTCGATACTACGATCCCTTTGCGGTTGCAATGCAAGATCGAAGGTTAGCAAACTCCGAATAGGCCGTTACCGTGTACTGACCGGAACTGTAGTTCCCACTTGAAGAGGTTGAGGAGTACTCAGAGGAGCTCAACAAACTCGACGAAGAGCTGAAAGAACACGGAATTCGCGCGTATGAGACGGAGGGAACCACTGAAGAGAAGCTGGCCGAGATGGTCGACAAGATGCAACTAGCCACCGAACACCCCGAGGCCGCACCAGACGCCAAGACTCTCATCGGCACGCTGCTACGCCGTAATTTGCTCTGGGTCACGTTGATCAAGCAAAAGTTGGTGCATCCCGCTAATCTTACGATCCGGACTAACACCTGAGCAGGCAAGGACGCATATCGCCCGCTTTCAAAGACACCTACGACAAACTTCTTGCTATCCGGAACAAACTCGAGAAGCTCACTCTGACACAGGCATGGTCCCTTCGTGAGACTGATCTATGGGATTTCCAGCGCCAGCTTGACCGCATAGACGAGGCACGCGTTGACGGTAATTTCGTTGATGCACTTGGACGTCCATCTGAGATCTACGAGCAAAGGGTATGTTCTCACAGACGTGATTGTCTATACGCCCACGGACTAACATGATGTAGACACTACTCTATCTTCTCAGGAAGAGCTACGCTCTCATCTACCAGCTGCTCTTAACTTCAGAGCCTGTGTCAGAGGCATTACTGCCAATATACAACCAGCTGACCACACTTCGGAAATGCTTACTTGAAGTCAAGAAGCTGGGAGGTGTATCCTCACCAAGAGAGCTGTACCCATACAGTATGAAGGTTGGTGCACCACCCCATGAATATATCGATACGTCTACTGACTCATATATAGCTGAACTCAATTGACAACATGCGGGTAGACGGCAAGTTCATGGTTGGCGAAGAGATACCCGATGGACAAGGACGCGTAACACAACTTCTGGAGGAATGCTTCGAGCTCGCCTACGACCTGAGAAACGATGCCGAAGACAACAACAGCTCCGCTGATGTCACGCCATCGACCGAAAAGCCCGAGCCCCTTAGCACCTGATGTATCCTCTCTCTCTCTCTCATATTGGCGCTGTACATCTCGGCGTAAGACGATCGCTCCCAAACTGGCTACCCACATCTCTTCTGACCTGTCTTATTCCGGCGATTCTCTCTCTTGTGGCAAACACGCGTAGAACCCTTGTACTTTCTGTACTTCTAACTATTACTTAATATGGGTCAATCATTCGAAGCTGTTCAATTTCGTCTTCTGGTGGCGTTGGTGGTGGAACATCTGCATCCTTGAAGGTTAGGTGGCTTCCGTACGATATGCCTGCAATTATCAGCGTCTTTGGCTATCAGCTTCGGCTCTTCCTCTTACAAAGCTCTTCGCCTGTAGCAATGTCTCTCAAAGCTCGATACGTGATGATTTGACGTCGAGTATCCCGCATCCATCCTACGTTTTGTTCCTGGGTCGAGTGATTGAACATGCTTCCCAATCCGAATATGATGGCTTGTGTGACCTTGCTGTTACCGTCCGTATCTACGATTGGCCAATTGCTAGCATGAGTCAGATTTTGAGTACTTCCAACCACCTCTAATAGATACTTTGATCAAATGTAAGGCCATCGACCTGCTACAACCGCCGATGCCCGCACATGCGTACGCATGCTACATGTCCAGAGGAGGTGGTAGCGCGATAATACAGCAGCTCAAAACAAAGAACTACGTACTAAGTGTAATGATAAAGCGAGGTCTGCTCTATGTGCTTCTTGTTTTCTTCTATTCCTAGGATCAATACAGGACATATGTCTATCGTGGTCCCTGATGGTATGTCTTTGGTAGCAAAAACACCACGCCCTACATGCCTTGTTAGTCATCCACTACAACTGATCTGCCATCATCTCGAGAAACGTACCTTTTGGCGTATCAACCTTCAGGACAATATCTGGACATCGTTGAAGTGGGATGTCGTTCGGCGCTGTTTGGAAACCCATGGTACCTAGCAAGAAGATCGGCACTTCGCAAAGCAGCAAGAATAGTTACAAGGATACAATAAGGACACCAGTCAGCAGTCCATTCCTCTCAAACCCACGACATCACTTTTGGTAATTACATCACAAAAATTTATCACCGCGCTAAGTCCGCGGTCCGAAGGCTTGGACCCTGAGGGTTGCGCCCCACTCAAGCTTCGCTCATGGCTGGCCGCTTTCGTCACAGGTCCTCGCAACACGACTGCCAGCACGATGGCCCAGCAACGAGGGCAAGCAATGGGAGACTCCCTCAAGACGGCACACTCCGTCAGCCTAAAGGTCCTGCGGTATGTTGGCACGTCCTTTATGCTGCTTCCGCATAGCGTCCTGTCGCAAAGCTGATCGTCGCATCGTCTCATGACCATCCACCCGACTTGTCTATCTATGCATATGCCATGGACATGCCAATGAACTGGG